TGTCGCTGGAATTGCAAAGGCTGCTTCTCAAAAGCTTGGAATACTATTCCGAACTAGAAAACCGTACACACCTCAGCACCTTTTGATATTTTATAAAGCTCAGATCAGACCTTCTTTGGAGTATTGTTCTCATGTATGGAGCTATGTCCCCAAAAATACTCTGAAGTTGCTGGATTCCATCCAGAAAAGAGCCATCCGGTTGATTCGAGACGCGAACATCACGTGCAACTTTGATAGCCTGAAACATCGAAGAAGGGTTGGAGATTTGTCTTTCTTCTATAGATACTTTCACGGGAAGTGTTCAAGTGACTTGGCAAATTTGATTCCACCAAGAGCGGTACACATACTCCTTATATATCACCTTGCAGTTGTTGAATCTTTTTACTTATTTCTTTTAGGAAGATTTCTTGTGCTTCAAATAACCTTCTTTCTACCAATTGTTATATTGTTCTAGCTGTTCTAATATTTTGCTTTCTTGTTATTTATTTTTTTTGTCTCGATGACTTAAAGAGTGGAAGATATATGCCATCTCCGCCATAAGATCTTTCAAAAATAACTTCATGTCTGTGATTTCACCATACACCATCAATGTTGAATTTTTTCAAATAAGTTCCTCATTCGGGAATCACTTTTGGTTTTCTAGTCGCTTGTTTTGCTCACGATGTCTACATCAAAACTGATCATTTAACACATAAAAGCTTTGAGATTAGTTTTGAGCACATCCATCATTACCTGTACAATCATCTGGAATCTTATTGGGTAAAAATGTTTCTGATATGAGAGGAGCTATACTTGCCCATTAGCAAAAATAACATTGGTCTTCTGATATTATTCTCAACGAAAATAAAGTTTACTATTTTCGTCGATGAAATACATGAAGAAATAATGATATACCAACCTTCTTTGGGTTATCCAATGTTTAATTGGTGTCTATGTGCCTTGTATTACACAGACCAAAAAAATTAAATAGCAGAAAGTTTTTACATTATTTTGAAGAAGATCACAGGTACAATAATAATTCTACCAACTCTTCCAACATCTTAAAAGTGAATAAATCAACACAAAAATAAGAAATACAAATGATTCATTACACATTGTCTGACAGTGCTGTTTA